GATATATTTTAGTTTCCGTGACGATGTAAAAACAAGTGGAATTTGTACAAATTTTTATTAGGCTTTTTTTTTTGTAGGTTTAGAGTACACAAATGTTGGCTTTAGAGATAGATTTGTAATGTTTTTATTGTAAAATCTGAAGTAGTTTGCGTAACTTGTGCTGCGTGAGCGATTTATAAATAGTTCTTTATATATTGTAAAGGTCGTTTTGACATTTCTGTAAGGTGTCCAAAGCGATCTCACGTATCCCCAAAAAGAACCTCTTCCTGTTATTAACAACGTAGCTTAAAGGGATTTTTCGAGTGAGAATAGGGAATTTTTTCAAATATCATTTCGAACAATTTAGGGATTTAAACGTTTAAATCCGTTATTTGGGGATTTTTTAAAAACCCTTTCGTAACTCGTACGATAACATAAATTCCCTACTAAATAATTTATGATGGATTCAAATTATCAAAAATTATAATTATTATTTATACGTATAGGTTTTGTAATGCGTATTTATTGCGTTTGTTTCGTAAATAAATAAACGAAAGCGGTTTATGGTGTTTTAATCGGTTGTCAAGGTTACCTGGGGTAAAAATCCAGCAAACATTTATTAATTCTGATATTTTTATACTTTTGATTCGTCCTCCCGTATTGTTTTAAAGTAATATCGTTACTAAATTTTGCATTAGTTTAGCTATTAGTTGATATTTTTCTACTTAATTAATCATTTCCATTAACTTAGGGATTTTTTTTACGTAAACATAGAATCATTCATCCTTGGGGCGACCGAAAGTTCCCTGATTAATTTTTAAATATTAATGATGATAAAAGCAAATATGTCTAATTATTGACAATTTAATACATTTATATTGATCATAACGCGGAATTTACCTGCGTAATCAATATTAATATTGCGTAAGTAATCAATTTTTATCAACATTTTAATAGCAATTTATTTCCCTGCATTTTCTTTTACTTAGGGATTTTTTATTCCCTTAAAATAAATTGATTCGCGACTTTACACGAAAATCAGATTATGTATGACATCAACTTTAGTGAATTTTTAAAAATATAAAATATTAACCAAAATTCATTAAATTATTAAATTCTTTTTATAAAAAATTATTATTAAAATATTACATTTGTCCTTGATTTTTCAATAAATAAAAGTTTATCAAAGCTTAGATTTATATTAATTAAATTCGTGTTTAAAATACGTAATTAAGTCTTCGAAGCATTAATTTATTGTTATAAAAATGCCTCATTTTATTTAATTAAACTGCATAAACAAGTCGTTAATCATACAAAAATTTCCTCTTATTTTTTTTAATTGATAATTATAACAAAATATCCTTAATTAGGGATATATCCCCAATCATTACGTAAACAAAGTTTTTAAAAAAATAAAATAAAAAATGTTTTTTAATTAAAATTAATGTTCGCTTTAATCGATTTAATATTTAAATTAAATCTGAATTAATGAATATACTTTTAACTTATATATAACAAAGTATTGATTCATAACCTATACAAAATATACCTATTTTTTATTATAACATAGACGATGTTTAATTTTATTATTATTGTTATTCGCTAATAGTTTTTAAGATTTAAAAAAAAACAATTTTAATTGTGATTTTTAAATCACTTTTAAGAGGATGCAAACGAATTTTACGTTTTTTTAGTAGGGAAATTTCCCTATATTTATGAAAACAAATGATTTCGTAACGATGACGTTATCCTCCACATCACGTGACCTGTCATGGTTACACAGAATTTCACGTTTCTCTTATTACTCTCGATCTGAATTCCATTCCGAAGTGTTCAGCCATCGAAATCGTTGTATTAATAATTCATAAGCTTTAAAATAATGGATATTAGTGATAAAGATGCGCATAGAATCCTGGAATTAACAGAAAGTATGTTGTTTTGTTGTTGTTATTGCTTTTAATCGTGCATTGCTTATGATCAATAGCATAAGATTCGTGCTTCTCCGTTAATTGTCAATTTCACCATATGTTTTTGTACGGAGAATCAGAACTAAACATTTAATCTAAACAACTGTAACAGTAACTTGCCCTGTTTATGCTTGTTATCAACATATTTTACATTAGATATAACTAGTGATATTTTAATTTTATAGGTTTTATACTTATTATTAACTTTTCAAACTTCCGTTTTTTTTTTTTTTAATGGGGAAGAAACGACTTAAATAGTCATCGTTATATTGCGAATTTTCCTTCTATAAATTACATTCTATATATAACAAATTTAAATACAAATGAAAGGATGAACATTACACAAAAACAAACTCAAATTCATAATAAAAGATGAAACATAGTATAATTACATTGTGTAAATACACAATGAGGAGTCAAATATGTAAAAATGTATAGGAAGATTACTCCTTCGACCAAGGGCAATCTACAAATTGGTATCTTTTTCTCCACCATGTATTTCTCAGCCATTCGCGTTCGGACACCTGTCTGTCTTTAGTCGTTCTTGGCTTATGTAACAGTATTGGTGTGCGAATTTTAATATTTAAGAGATTTGTTGCAATAATGTAGTATTATCTAAACTGCCAGAAACGTTTCCTTTTATGTGGTGATAAGATAAGAAAAAAAAATGCACACATTATACACTTAAATAAACTTTTCAAAAAATTTGATACGTAATTGAATTAAATTTCAAAAATATATGTTTTATATTCAAATTTAACAATGTGACGGATGAAATCTTTAATTATTTTTCGAACGTACCATAAACGTTTATGACAAAACTGCTGCGAACTGGTAATTTTATGTTTGTCTTAATTTTAGTCACTGTTTTATATACAGATGACCGTCACGTTTGAAGCTTATTATGGAAATTTGGTTTCTTAAGTGGCATATTTTTGTTTATGTTCGAAAAATTGTTTATGTAATGCATATTGCATAACATCGGCTATATGTGCTCCTGGATTGTAAAGTTTGTTCTGTTTTTAACGTAGAGTAGGTTCTATGTTATAAATCTAATAGTAATAATTTATATATTTTAACAGTTAGTGTCATATCTAATATAGGACATCATGTCAGATTAAACAAGATAATAACTGACAACAGATTTAATAGTATCATTTACAGTTATGGTAATTTTCATTTTAGCTTTTTAGTATTTGTAAATATAATAAAATATAACTTATGATATAATGTGTAACAATAATATCTGATGTTATCCATTTGATACCTAAGTGATCAAATATACTTTGGCACACATAAATATACTATTGGCACATATATAAAACAGTAATACAATATAATTACTCTAATGCTTACTGTCGTTGTAAGAATTTGTAAATTTTAAATTTTTGTTGAAGAATGAGTCTAAATGTTTTCGAGATTTGCAGCAATATGTTGTCATACAGTTTTTACACGTTTTAGCAATTATTGTAAAATATATTTTTTTATTTTTCAATCCACAGATAAGATTATTTTTATTAATATGTTTTATTTTATACAAAGAGCAATAGATTTAGTTTTTAGTGGATTAATTTTTTAATTCATCAGATTACCACAAATATTTAATTTCTTTAATCAGTTATTTTAAAATTTAAATTGTTTGATTACTTCCTCATATTTAAAATTAAATTAAAGAAAAGAATGATATCAATGTGATGAATATTTGAATATTCTTATTAAATATCAGTATTATAGTTGTTGTTATCTTCTTGCACAAAGAAATGTTGTAAACTTTTGGTTGGAATTTTATAATTATTAAGTGGCTTATTTTAATTAATGCTTGTTATTTGATTTGATATGCTTGTTTGGTTTGTTTACAAGTCAATTTGCATTTAAATCAAAACAGAATATTTATAAAATTCTAAATTGTTGTTTCTGGGCAAGCACGTTGGCATTTTATACAAAAATGAAACTATCGTGTTTATAATATGCTTTAAATCAGTTGTTTCCAACCTTTTTTGACTTGTGTACTCTCTTGGCAGCCCATTTTCCTAAGTTTTTTCCCATTTTGCATTTTTGCTAATTTTATTTCATGTGTTCAACAAACAGTGGTGCCTCGGTCAATTATACAGCAGTGTACAATTAGATATAAAAATAGGTTTTTTTAAAGTGAAAATTGTTGCAGATAGGACACAGATAAATACAGTGGTACCTCAGGATACGAACGCCCCAGCATACGAAATTTTCAGGATACGACATGAAATTCGAAGATATTTTTGCTTCACGATACGAACAAAAACTCACCATACGACGTTACATTAGTTCGCATTTTTCATTTGTTTTCCTTACTACAGTTATTTTTTTTAAATGTATTACTTGGCTTTAATTTGAGTATGTTTTTCGCGTTGGAACAAATTATTTGGTTTTACATGTAATTGTATGGGAAAAGTTGATTCACCTTACGACATTTTCATGATACGATCTCAGTTTCGGAACGGATTAATTTCGTATCCTGAGGTACCACTGTAT